GTTGCCTTTCAATATGATTTTATGCCGTTACGCAAATAACATTTACAATATTTTGTTTCCCGAGGCTCACTCGGGACACTAAACCAGCACTCATAAATGCAAAGAAAATCATAAAAAAGATGGCTGTGACAGAGTCCTGCATCTTTCTGCAAAGTATTTGACGAAACATGACTTGAACAGTGCTCCGTCGATGACAATTTTCTGCCAAAAAACTGCGTTTTACACCACACACAGCAAATTAACGACAAAGGAAATCAATATTGTAATGAAAAACTTTAATTACGGCACGCTGTACACGTGCCGCCCGCGCCTTGACATTAAAAGGTTTCCCCGCACTTAAAAACGAAAAAAAAGTAAATCACTTTCACCTTTAAACAAAATTGACTATGGCTCGTTGTGGCAAGATAAATGACAAATGAGGAACTCAATAACACCAGGTGCATCACAAAAGACAATTACTAAGAATAGGCCATATCAGCGAGTGACATTCTGTTGAAACAGCCTAGTTTTTACTGTCGACTTGATTAGCACTATGATATCATTACTGCCTTGGAGTAACATCATTGTTTGCTCGCTAAGAAAAGCCGGTGACAGCCAGAACAAATAGCGGAAGTCATTTCGACTCCATTGACGCTAAGATTCGCCTATGTACATTTTTTTTTCACGTTTCAATATTCTCAACACGCAAAAATAAAAACTTGAAGGGGTTCGGCTTAATACAAGAGACCATGGATTGAACTCGTAGTTAGTTTCAGACAATCAACCTAAGTATCGAAAACAAAACACTAAAAACAAAAAAAAACAGAAACACAAACCCAGAAGGCGAAAACGAAGCACCCCAAAAAATCAAAAACGAAACGTCCAAAACTCGAAAACAAAGCAAACCAACTGTCCCATTGACATTTTTCTCAACTACTCCGACAATAATAACTCATTTCCCTTGATCACTATTACTATAAGAGCCAAAAACGTGGGGACGAATGAAAGAAATTTAATCAAGCATTACACCAGTACACCTTGGGGAATTGGTAAGCGGACATTTATGCAATAGGTATTAGCATATACTGTCGATCAAACGTGACTAGCGTGAAAGTTTCAACATCATTTGATGACAGGAGAAGTCAAACAAACATCCTTTATCGATTCTTCATAATGGGATTTTTATTAAGTCTGAGTCTCATTTATGGTGCAGGGCACAGGTATTGTTTCAAACCCATTGCATTTTGCTGATAGTTATCTGTACACACAGGGCTACGTGGTTCAAGTCATCCTTCGCTTGATTTACGGGACGATTTCAGCGATTGCCTCTGTACAAGACGTTGGACGCCAAACAAGCAAAGCACTTAAACATGGACAACTCCACCGCCATTGCTCCATCCGTGAAATCGCTTGTAACCAAAATCAACTGCCTTCACTTGGAAGAGGAATGGATCGCTGCAAAGGAGTCACTCGTCAGCAACGTGATCGTGGCTGTGCTAAACTTGCTAACAGCTCTGACAGCAATAATCGGCAACATGTTAATTCTCCTGGCCGTGTCGAGAACGCCGACGCTCCGAACTCCGTCGAACACTCTTCTCTGTTGCCTGGCGTTCGCGGATTTGCTAGTCGGCCTCGTCGTTCAACCGACTTATGCTCTGCAAATGGTCTTCGAAATACAAAGAAACGTTCGATCTTTTTGCATCACCAAGATCATGACATCCGGCTCGCTATCTTGGATTTGCGCGGGAGTTTCCTTCCTGGTCATATCGGCCATTGCAGTCGAGAGACTTCTCGCTATAGAACTACACTTGCGATACAAGGAATTGGTTACCATTCCTCGGATTTTGCTTGTGGCGGTTTGTTTCTGGATCCTTTGCTCGGCTCTGATCATTGCGCACTTTCTGGGCGCCCGGTACAAGACTCTTGTCCTAATCATCGTTATCATGGACGTGTCGTGTATAACCATCACAATGTTCGCGTACCTAAAGATTTACCTCCAGATTCGACACCTCCAGAATAAGACCAGAGATCAAATGCACCTTACTCCGCCCGGAATGAACATCAGCAGCTTCAAGCGGTCCGCAGTCACCATGCTGTACATCATGCTGGTGTTTGTGGCTTGTTACATCCCTTTTCTATCCACGCTAGTGGTCAGGATGCACCAAGGTCGGAGTCTCCGTTTGAACATCATCTACAACTTCACAGCCGCAATCGTTTACATGAACTCTTCACTGAATCCCTTTATCTACTGTTTTCGCAGTAAGGACATTCGTATCGCTGTGTTCAAGTTACTCGGTAGGAAATACACGATTGATTTCAACGGAGATGTTGTTCCAGTTTCTCTCTCCACGCAGAGGATTAACAGTCTCAAGAACTCAACTTTTCAACCCTCACCACCTCTAAATGGATTAGCCGACACTCAACTTTGACAGGGCAAGCTGGAGCCAGCTTGGCTAATTTGTTTAGTCGATTTTGCATGAAAGGTTTTCTGTAAAAACCTCAAAGTACATCTTTGCTCGTTAATTTAAGTAAAAGAACAATTTATTGTCTTTTTTTTTTTTTCAAGTTAGCAGTTCATACTTAAGAAACCTAGAGAAGATTCGCCAGAGGCAAAGCTACATAGTCTTCCAACACTGGGACAGGAATATATTTAGTCAAAAGAGACATGAAACAAAGGAAGTACAAGTATTGTCAAAATGATACAATTTTTTCCGCGTTAAGCTCAGTAAAATGTTGTTTATTTTGTTAATATTTCATTGCATTTTAATATCCTTTTTCTATTTAATCTATGAAAAGAATGAAGAAAAATTGTCTCCTTGTTTGACGCAATAAAGTGTCATAATCTTTGGGTCGCCACATTTTCTTGAAAATTCTAGGGTGCTTGCATCTTTTGCCATTTTTAGAATTGGGGGAAGGGTGGGTGGGTGTCACTCAACGTGCGCGGTCAATGGTCAATGATGAGCTTGGCATGGCTGTGATGTCAGATGATGTCTGTTATTTGGCGATGTAGCGGGCGATATGGTGGAGATCTAATCAAATTATCGCTGTTAATCTGATCAAATTATCGGTGCAAATTTGGTGTAATTCTAACACAGTGCCTGACTGAACCAATAATCGGTGCTTTCGCCACCCGTTCTTGCGATTTTACGACGGATAATACATACATGTACACGTGATCTCCTATGCGGAACAATACGCTACAACATGCGGACATTTTGTGAGTTGCCTAGCTTCGCGTGGTTTTTGCCCTGCCCTGAAATGCTGAAGGGGTAAGGAAAAATACGACGCAACTCGCAAATATCCGCTCTTATTACATGTCAAACCATCAAATAAGGGATCTGTTATTCCACTATTTTTCCTTTTTCTAGTATTTCGGCTTCTAGTTTTTTAAATACAGCCTGTATGATAGGATATAAGGCCATAAGGGAGACTATAGTCTTGCCTGTAATTATGCACCCTATTGAAATAAAATGTCATCATCATCATCATCATCATGATCTGAATCGTACCGATCGCATAAGACGCGTGTGGATGACGAAAACAAAATACAACCATACAGTGCAATACGGACTCATATTTTGCGCGTTCTCTTGACCTAGTATGGTAAAATGGCGTAATAGTGAAATGATAAAGAGGAAATCAGTCACTGCCAGGTTCGCTGTTGTAAAATAAATATACACATGACGAGGCGTGTATAATGCCAGGCGACTTTTAAAGTTTTTGACATGATACATTAAAAAGTAACTGCTGTAGATCCCTTTAGACGTACTTCGCTAAAAGGAAAAGTTCTAAGATTGCGCCAGAATCCACAGACGGAAGGATACATTTGAACTAATGATCAAATGAAGGAAGTTCCCTTAGGCTGAGAGGGCATAACAGAGAAAGCTCCAGAACCAAATGAGTTTAGTTTTAAGTGTCACAACAACCTACTTTCGGGAAAAAGCTATTAGTGTAGAGGAAGAGTTTAAAATGACCTACTGTGAAACTAAATTAGCAATGATCAAGTTTCACGGTCACGAAGGCGTGAACAAGTATCCGGCTTCGGTTACGTGTCTTACGTCAGCACTCGTATACATTTTCGTCTGTAAACGATATTTTTTTTTCATGTTTACGCATTTCGTCCATAAGTAAAGTACATCCACGATCATCGAAAGCGTTAATTTGGTTCACTCCGTCCGGTCTTTGTCGTTCTGGTGAGGCCAGGTGTAAACAACTCATAAACGACCGCCGAAGCTAGTGAGGACGAAAACATTTGCATTACTATTTAGCTTACGACGCCGAGGCGTGAAATTAGCCATAGTGGTGTCGTAGCAAATGGAAGTTTTTTTGAAATATTTCTAATATTTCTAACTTAAATATTTCTAACTTAAACTTTAACTAAACTTAATGAGAAAGAAAGGCGACTGAGCGATGATTGCAAATTGTTTACCTGGATCATTCTTTACAAACCACTAGTAAACCACTCGCTCGAGCTTTAATCAGATTACATTCCCAAAATCGTTTGAGCTTTTCTGTGAAGAAGAATTAATAGTTCTCAGTTACAGACATTACAAAGTGCAAAACACAGGTCTCTGGAATAGATCTCAATCTGTTGACTCGAGCTTTGTTGCCGGAAAACACTTGAACCTCAGCCACAGGTATTACATCCTGGAAGATTTTTCATCAGCAAAAACCACATCTAAAGCAATTACCTCTTGCCTTAAAACACGAACGTCATAACATGAAATTCCAAAAGTAAATTCGGTCGAGTGCTTGTCACGCTTTTTGCTTGACCTTTAGAGTTTATATAGTAATAAGAATTACAGGGTCTCTATTCAAAATCAAAACAGTTTCAAAGGGAAATCTGGAAATGTTGATGATGTTGACACAACTCTCATCCACGCAGATGATAGTAAGTCTAGTTCCGTCTCGAAAACAGCACAAAATGAGCTCATCCGCTACAGAAGCACACGCACATCCGGATGACGAACCTACTTCTTTTCATGTAAGGTGCGGCTAGATAAAGACGAGTTAATCCTCTGCAAAAGACTATTCCCACACGCCACAAGGGAAGCAGTTAGTCATGGAAAACACCAGCATGAATGATCCATCTGTTGAACCAGTCATAACCAAAATAAACTGTTTACACTTAGAAGAACAATGGATCGCTGCGAAGGAAATCTTCCTGACATACCTGATCCTGATCGTGGTAAACTCGCTAACGGCTCTGACAGCAATAATCGGCAACATGTTAATTCTCCTGGCCGTGTCGAGAACGCCGACGCTTCGAACTCCGTCGAACACTCTTCTCTGTTGCTTGGCGTTCGCGGATTTGCTAGTCGGCCTCGTCGTTCAACCGACTTACACTCTACAAATGGTCTTCGAAATACAAAGAAACGCTAAAGCGTTTTGCATCGCCAAGATCATGACCACTGGTTCGCTATCTTGGATTTGCGCGGGAGTTTCTTTCTTCGTCATATCGGCCATTTCAGTCGAAAGACTTCTCGCTATAAAACTACACTTGAGATATAAAGCGCTGATCACAATTCGTCGCGTCCTAACCGCGGTGGTGGGTTTCTGGATTCTCTGCACCGCCTTGACAACCGCGCGCTTCTTAGGCGCCTCGTACCAAAGCCTCGTCATAATCATCGTGGTAATGGATGTGGTGTGCATTGCCATCACAGTGTACGCGTACCTGAATATTTACCTCCGTGTTCGAGAACTTCAGAACAATCAGATGCATCTCGCTCCGCCTGGAATGAATATCAGCAGCTTCAAACGCTCTGCGGTCACCGTGTTGTATATAATGGCCCTTTTCCTCGCTTGCTACATCCCGTTCCTCTCAATGTTGGTGGTCAGAATGCGTCAAGGCGGAACCCTTAAACTGAACATCATCTACAACTTCACAACCGCAATAGTTTACATGAACTCTTCACTGAATCCCTTTATTTACTGTTTTCGCAGCAAGGACATTCGCATCGCTGTGTTCAAGTTACTTGGTAGGAAATACACGATTGATTTCAACGGAGATGTAGTTCCTGTCAAGAAGCTCAAGAACGCGGCTTCAGCGACTCTGCTTCAACCTTTAGCAACTCTGCAAGGATTGGCTGAGGTTCCTGAGAGTCAAGTTTAACATGCTTACGTCGTCATACGTCGTCATGTTCGTACGTTGTTCCATTCGTTACAAACAAACTGGTCGAAAAATTAATTCTAACCTCTCAGACAAAAATGTAACTCTAGGAAGACAAAATTAGGTTGTCATACATGAAAACGAAACCTCCGGAGAGTACTTGAGAAATTAAGACTCGAAAACTAGCACCCCAATATGTATATTTTTAATTTATTTGCGACACGTTTTCTGTTTCGGCGGGTTCTTAATCTTGTTAACAGCTTACGAAATTTAATACATACCATCTTTTTGATGTTACTGTACTGAAGGTTAACTAGAAGTAAAGGATGCTTTGTGTAAAACTGAGTCCTAGAGAAACTTCGCTGCGGGATATTAGAATTTCCTGAACAGATAATGTTCATGAACATATGTCTTGTCTGTCAGTGTTCTAACACGCACAAACCGGTATCGCGAAAGCGCATGAAACCGCATGGAAATACAGGTACACTTACCCATACAAAATTTTATTTCTAAGAGATTTTTTCACCTTTACAAGAGGATGTACCTCAACATGTTGAGCAGTATAATGGGAGTGACAGCTCGTCTTTCCTTGTCCTTGAGTTAAGAGTGCTAAAAGCTTAACTTAAGGGTGCTTTTGACACATTTTACAAAGGAGAGGTCTGGTACTTACCGCGGATCATGTTAAGTGTACCCCAGTGAAGAAACCGCTGTTGAACAAACTCTTTGCCTTGTGAACGACTCATGGCCTCTGTCCAGCCATTATAAGCATTCAGTACGGTTACGTGGTCACTTCTGCTGTCACCAGCGAAGTGTTTGCGAGACTACAAAAAAGTAACATAAAAACTTCATCTGCTGAACTTACCATTGATAAAATAACAAACAGCTTGTAATAAATAAATTTTACTTTTCTGCTGCCTATGCACTTGAAATTTCAGAAAATTCTCCGCGGTGAGGCGTTTTAAGTTCGTAGAAAAATCAAAATCAAGTTTCTTGTTATTTACGGAATACTGCACCATATTTGCGGCAATTCACCATGATCCAGATTATTGCCCGTTTTCGCGCCACAAATTTCCCTGCATGAAAAGTGACTTACAAGAAAAACCGGTAAAACATGTATCTTACCTGATCCGCCTGTTCCCGCCATTTCAGTGGTGATACAAATGGGTCTTTATAACTGAGGCCAGCTGCAATGGTCAGCACTGGATCGAGGCACCTAAACGTGACCAAAAGAATACACTATTGGAATTGCTTCGTTGGAGAGACATGGAAACCCCTTGGAGACGAATCTCCGAAAATTGATCAAGAAAGCAAAACAAATTTAAAATTTTTACGAATCCTGGGCCGAATAGATAGCTAAACCGACCCTTTTAGCAACAAGACACACGAATTTTACTGACAACTGTACTCAAAGGAATAACCTGAGGCGTTATAAGACGATATATATATATATATTTTAAATCAGGCTCCAGTTGTTCGAAAGGTAGAGAACGCTATCCGCCATATAAATCGCTATAAGTGTTAACAAAACAAACCGCCCTATCCACAGGATTGTGATTTAACCGCTGGTAGCGTTATCCACCTTTCCAACCACCCCGTCCCGGGCCAGAAGAAAACCTTAGTTCGCGCTTTAGTTAAGCGACTGAACGGCAAATTGCACTTACCTGAAGATAGCTCCATAAATAATCATCTTTGCTATGCGTGGTTCCACTGGCAAAAACGCCATATGCTTACCAATAGCTGTCAGACCTTCCTACAAGGGGAAAAATGTTGATGTCAGGTTCGTGAAAGATTTTGCCTCTGTTTTGTCCACCTGTCAACAAGTTCGACAATTACACCCACCCATACAAACACAGTATTTATTTTCTTTGTCAATTCATCAGCTAAGCTAAAAGAGGTTCAATTCTCCTTACGGGTTATCGGACATTTTTCTCAATTTGGGTTCTGAGAATTTGGCAGTACATCAACACCTGTCTCGTTGACCGGATATTGACACTGTAAGGAGAAACAAGATGATGAACACCCTTTGGCATTGCTGTGAAGGATGATTAAATAGCTGCTGGTGTTAGAGAGATTTATTTGTTGCTACAAAAAACCCACTGCTGTACATACCTTGTCGTCCAAAGCCCCGATCTCTTGTAACTGTGATATGGCACTGTGAACTGCAATTTAACAATTATTAACGTCCGAGTTGAAAGCATTCAACATACTAGAGTTGATAAAAACCACAAGGTAGAGTCGATTCAAAGGGTCGCATGTCACGTTACATCTTGAAAACGTTAGTCCAAATGTGCCGCGTTTTTAGGAGGATGGTCTACAATCCGTTTACATCGTCCTCAGTGTTAACCATCCTTGTTTCTTCATGGTCTATTATCACTTTTTCACTGTTTTTCTACATTAGCGTTCTGTTATTGTGTCATTTTAAACTGGTTTCCTGGATTCAGAGGTTACCGGGCACGGGTCCTTTAAGGTAACGCGAGAAATGAAGGCCTACTTTCTCGTGAATTATCAGTCATGATAAGGTTAATCGAGCTGTTCTTACCAGCAAATGGCGATGGAGGATCCAGAGCCTTGGATAAAAATTCCTGGACCCTACAAGGATCTGAGCACTGAATCTGAGGAAGGCAATGGGAATATGACCTCACTCTAAGTCTCCCTCCACGATAAATTTAAGAGGAAATCAGTTTAGCATCAGCGAGAAGGTTTTTCCGCTCACCTTGGTTTGCAGGACAATCTCCTCTAGAGAAACCCTCTGCATTTCAGCTGACTGGTAAGGTGCTGTTAAAAAACAACAACAACAACAACAAAAAAACAACAACAAAAAACAGAAAACAAAGTCATCAGACATCACACTGCAAACAAAGAACTGGTGTTCTGGGCTAACTAGAATTAAATCAAAATAAATCGTGACAAGAATTACGATCTCTCACTTGTTTTCCCGCGCTTGTTCCCGGTAGCGGTTACATTTTTCCCGTGCTTTTTTAACGATTATACATGTTTCCCCGCGCTTAACACTCGTTAAGTATTCTGTAAAATTAAACCGTACACGGTTCGAACGGGTTTTTTAACGTTCACTCCATCACAGAAAACTTAGCCGCCTTAGAAACGCTCGTGGTATTTTTCTTTAATACGTGAGATGGCCTTAAGAAACTAAGTGAACGGCATGTAAAAATTCAGTTCCAAATTCGTTATCATCAATCTTCCCAAATCTTCATCATTCTTCCAGCTAATTGGTTAACTGTTCTTACGGGGTTATTTCTATCTTAGCGGATTATCATTTGGAGGTATCTTTAGGTTTGAGGGTAATAATATACGACGCAAAAAGTGATTTAACATCTCCTGGCTACAAAAGCTGGTCTCAAATACAATTAATTGTGATCAAAAATTACTGGTGCACTCTGTTTATATTACAGTTGTGTTGGCACATAATATTAATGAAGAAACATACCCATGTGCTCAAACTGTTCTCTTGTGAAGAGGTTGAAACATAAACCAGGCTTGCACCGACCAGCCCGGCCACGCCTCTGAACAACACTGGCCTGGGATGTCCAGTGTGTCATTAGACACGAAACCTGACAAAAAAAACAGTCAGATTCAAATATTAATTCTCCTTACTGGTAGCTATATATTCCGTGTCATTTGATTGAGAAGAATTTCGTGAAAAATAACAACAACGAACAGAAGTTTAAGTCTAATATGTATAAATAGACAAAATACCAAACGGGAGTCGCAATGATAATTCAATAACACCTTATCTACATCTTATGCCTGCATCAGGGCTGCCTTTTTTGAAGAGGCCTGATATCAAGACAATTACACCTTCTTCAACATTTTCTTTGAAATTTAATGCTAAAGTTAGTATCGAAAATAACTTTTTTTATCTTATCTTCTTCACAATACCTTCATTGCATACATTCTCCCACACTTACTGTATCATGCATTATCTTTCCTTCACTGCACACATTATCATACGTTACCCTTAATTCAATCCTACATTCACTGCATCAATATATTATTAATATATCATCCTTCCTATACTGCATATATTATCATACATCATGCAATATTCACAGTGTCATAAATTAACCCACCTTTCTCTCTGCATCATACATTTTTTCCTTCTCGTTACCAGCATTTATCACATAGACAATGTCATCAATGGTTATTGACGTCTCTGCTATATTAGTGGCTAACACAATCTTGCGGACTCCCATGGGTGGCCTGAAGGGACAACAAAACTGCTACATGGAACACTTTGGTAATGATTTTGCTAGTTTTCTGTGTTGTTTTTGAGTTTAGTACATGGATGCTAGGTGAAGGAGGAAACATGCCTCTTGCTAGTTTGTGATTTTGCTTGAGTCCATGGGATGTGAAAGGCAAAGTGGCTCATTGTTGACAGTGCTTGACTCTAGTTTCAGTAGCACACATGTAAAGAGACTAAAAGTATTTCTGTTCTCTTTGGATGGAATGTGAAAACTTGATGGTAATGTAAACTGGTTTGTTGGCTTATACAATTGCAAATTAAGGAAACCAACCTTTCAAACACAGCCTGTTGGTTGAACATTGGCAGCATGGAATGAAGAGCCAGCACAAGGAAATTTGATTTCTGGAAAAGAATTTTCATAATATGCAAAAACACAGTAATGCTGCATTAAAACCACAAAAGTAAATACCATTTGGTATTTTCTGCTGTCCACGGCAATTTCAGCCATCTCCTCTGGGCACTAACTTGCAACCGGAGGGGTGACCAGTGGAGGTGGGTAATTTAGGATACCTGTTTACAAGATCAATATTTTGGGAATAAAGGCAACAGAATGTACAACGGTTACAGTTTTTTTTTTAATTAATACATTCCAATTCTCATTCTGCATGTGAGTAGTAAAATGACAGAAGTTAGATATAGATTTTGTTGCTCTCTCACAGCTTTATAATAAGTGCATTCTTTATTATTAAGTACATTCTGCATTATGTGATGGCCTGCACTGTCTGCAACGTGGACAAACATTATCAATGTCAGCATTCTGTATTGTTAGCTTGTCAAAAAAAATGGTACTCTTTTTTTCTCTTATTTGAAATGTGCATCATCTCCATGTTCTCTTTTCTGGATATTTTAATAGTTGCTGACAATAAATTAAAATTAAAGCACAGAGAATTTTAAATGTTAAAATCACTTACATCTTGAATCTTATTTGACAACATGTCATGGACAACAATTATTTCATCCCAACCAGACAAAAAGCACAAAATAGCTCCCTGCCAAACAAAGAAAATAAAATATTGAAGAAACATTTCAGTGCAGAGAACCATTAACCTCAAGAGCACTTTCCAATCTCAAAAAATATTGCATGCATGCTATTCAAAAATTGTTGTTTTTGTTACTACCTCAGGGTAATTCCTACACACACAAAGAATTGTTTCACTGACAAGAACGGCATCTGCCTCCGGGCTGTCTTGAGGATTATTGACCTGGTAAACAAAGAATTGATCTTGATAGCAACTTGTCTGTGAAAAATCTGAAGAATTCATTTATGACACTGTTGAGTAAATCTTATCTGGTAGATTACCTCATTAAATTATTTTGAATTCCTAATTAATTGATACTTAGAAATACAACTCAACACCCCAGCTCCAGGAACTTTTGAAAAAACTAGAAACAATTTTAGAAAAATAATAAGCAATATCACTTGTTATTTAATGTGAAAATGCCAAACAAAGCTCAAATGTAAGGGTTACTTNCAATGATAAGAAAATATCATGAAAATGCCTATTGGATACTTTATTTTCAATGGTTATTACAGATTAACAAAACCAGTTCATAACAGAGGAAGTGTTGTGGATTATGTTCAAATTTTGTTTTGTCATTACGAGTTAGGGAAGAAGCACGAAACATTGAAGGCTGAATGATGACACTATAAAATGTGTTAGAATTCTAACAAGGACATGCAGTTGTAAAATGTTAAACAATGACGAAAGGACAATTTACTGTTACAATAAATGGAATGTCTGTCGAACAAACAAACAGACCTACTGACAGATAAACAAAAGAAATTAATATGAATGCTATTACTACAGTGTACCTGTGTGACTACTATGTTGCATGTTGATCCTTTACCATTCTGTATGGCATGATCCAGAATGTACTGAGGAATCTATCAAAAGAAAAGGAAATAACACATAAAGCTAAAAGCACAACTCCATACCATCTATTGATGGGTAATGTTTAAAACATCATCAAAGCCTACATGTATTGTGACAGCTTGCTAATCACGTGCTCACTAATAGACTGCACAGCAGCCATTTTCAAAAGCTTGCGAAGGAAACAAAACTCTGAGCAAGTTCCCAATCTCGCCGCCTGGAAAATTGAAAGGAAATGTCTGCAATGCCGGGTAATACTCACTCTTCATGAACAACATAATCTTCTACAATGAGAACATTGTGTTTTGTGAAGAAAGCTTTGAAAAGAATCATGCCTTATAAGCTTATCTCACATACAAACACACCCACAATTCATGGTTGGCCCATGCTAAAAGATGTCAAGCATTTTCAGAACATGTCGGTCCATGAATGGCAAATTCTACAGCTTGAATTCTTGCCAAATTAACAAAGTTCACACTAGTTCTCATGAGATAACATATGAGCCATATATGAGATCAAACTAAGACAACACTGACAAAATTAAATGACTACTAATTTAACAATCTATGATGCCGAGACAAACACCTCATGTGTTGAAAAAAATCAAGAATCTGCATGAACAGAACTATGAAGGTGGGGCAAAAAAACAAGTAATTGGATAAAGAGGATCTCCAGCGAAGCAACTTGAATAGTAAATATCTAAGCTTAACTCTTGTGTTAAATATCCTGATTCTTTTATTTGTTTTTTTTTTTGTGTGTGTGTGTGTGTTTAATACTGATACAGTACAATTTGATATTTTCGGATATGAAGCCCAAGTAAACACTCTTCAAGTGTCTAGTTGCATAGTAATTACCTGCGTTGTTTTACCACATCCTGTTTCTCCAGATAAAACAACTACTTTGTTTGCTTCAATCAACTCAATGATCTTTCCCCTGTAATAAAAAGCATAAGACAAGCAAAATAAACCTGTTCACAAACATACTCATTTACAAATATATGCCTTGGCACTTCAAGAGGCTACACATGAAAGTATATCATGTTTATATATGTCATTGTGCCTTAAAAATAGTTTCAAATAAGTATTTTTAAGTGTCAAAATTACCTATGGTTTGCAACAGGCAATCTCTTTGTGTCTTCACTGAACCAAGAAAGTCTTGACTGCAACATATTTTGTCTTTGTGAAAACTCCTGTAGCAACTGTCCGTCAAGTTTTTTGTGTTTTTCCGCTGATAAGGGCCTCCAAGGTGAACCAGTAAATATGTCCTTTATCACACCAGATGCAGCAGTAGAATTTACAGATGTGAAGTCGCCAGCATTGTTTTGTGAATTTTTGCCTGATGGAGTGCTTGGGGTATGTGGCATCTCCCAGTTGGAAAAATCTTCATCTTTAACAATTTCAGCATCTTGCCAGAATTCTTGATTTTTACTAGCTCCAGCAGAAGCACAGTCTGTCTGAGTTTGTGACTGACCCAATGTACTGCTTACAGGAAAAGTCTCTTTCACTGCAGAACCTTGTGATAGTTTAGATGCTTGGACTGGGTCACTCTGGAACATAAGTTGTTGGTTTTGAGGTCCATATAGTTGCTGACTAAGAACTGAGTTTTTCAACAAAAATGACTCTACTTTTGACAATCGATCCTCATCTATGTAAATCCACTTGGGTTCATCTTTGTTTTCCACAGCTTCTTTCTTCAAAATAGTGGCTGCTCCCAAATTTGCAACTCCAAGTTTCTATTTTACAGACAGGCAGATGAGACTAATGAATATCATACCAATGAAAACACTACAGAGTAAAAGTATTCAGTCGTCATAACAAAATTATGCTCAGTGGCACACCTTTAATTTAGCCATTGATAACTCTCAAAAA